GAAATCATAAAACCTAGTCACTTGAGAAAAAACAACAACAATGTCTCTAATTCCAAGCATTTTCGGAGGACGAAGATCAAACGTTTTTGATCCTTTCTCGCAAGACGTATGGGATCCATTTGAAGGGTTCTTCACGCCTTCTTCTGCGTTAGCAAACGCTCCGACCTCTCGTGACGTGGCAGCGTTTACAAACGCAAGAGTGGACTGGAAGGAGACGCCGGAAGCACACGTTTTCAAAGCGGACTTGCCTGGTCTGAAGAAGGAAGAAGTGAAGGTTGAGGTTGAGGACAAGAACATACTTCAGATCAGCGGAGAGAGGAGCAAGGAGAACGAAGAGAAGAATGACACGTGGCACCGTTTGGAGAGGGCAAGTGGGAAGTTCATGAGGAGGTTTAGGTTGCCGGAGAATGCCAAGGTGGAAGAAGTGAAGGCAACTATGGAGAATGGTGTTCTTACCGTTACGGTTCCGAAAACGCCGGAGAAGAAGCCTGAGGTCAAGGCCATTGATATCTCCGGCTAAGTCATCGTTGAGGAAGTTTGAAAGATTTCGTATTTTAAATAAAATTAAAAAGTGTGTTGGGTGGCCTTTTTGGTTTGGTTGTGTTTTGAAAATGTTGCTTTTTCTGAAATTATGAGTGTAGAATATCTCTCATTATAATGAATAAAAGTGTGTTTCTATAATCAATGACGAATGTTGGATCACATCTTTAACTCCAGTTTCACTATACCAGAATCTTCGAAGAATCTCCTCATCTGGAACATCTATAAAGTCAATTTTGTCATACTTTTTACTTATGTTTGTTATTTTTTTTGTTTTTAAATGAACCTCCGATTACATAATACATAGATAAAAGTAGTAAGCACACCAAGAGGCAAAAGAGAACTAATCCTGAAAAATGTAAACCAAGTTGTGAGAAGTGTTATCGTATGGCAGATTTCTATGTCGCTTTGAAAGCGGATCAAGACGGCAACGGATCGTGTTGTGGATATAAAAAACTCTGCCCCTTGTAGGCAATCTATTGTGAGTAGCCACCCAAGCCAAGAAAGCATTTTTCGGGATATTTCCTTTGAATCAAATCGCTTCGTGCTAGTCCACTATCAGAGATGGAGGATTTAAGTAATGCCACATTTCCGCAGTGGAGAACCGATTTGATGGAGGCTTATCACCTACTTTCCACAAATAGGTATCATCCTTAAGTAGCTGAATAGTCGGATGTCTGCTCCTACTACTAGACAGCCACCAAACTCCATCACACAAAGCGTCTGAGACAACTGCATCATCCGGAATACCAACTACACTAAGACCACTATGACCGGTAATATCCAATAGAGGACCTAAGGAAGTCCAAAACAGATTATTGACATGTTTGGAAAATTAGTTTTAAGTATTATAAGAACTTAAAACTTTTTCTCTGGCAAAAAGTTGATTTCTTCAAATTAACACATTACATCTTTTAGTGTTTATAAAATGAAATTAAAATGGTTGACGAGTAGATTGGATCATAAGACATTTTTTAATCACAAGGCAAAATATAAATCAAATTCAAATTCATTCAACACTATATTATGTATATCCAACAACGATTAATGATCCACGTCATCGTAAATTCTTTGCGGGAATAGCGACGAAGCTTTCAATAGTTGAATTCTATCGTAAATCGCCTCTTTCTTCTAGCGATGCATCAATTAATATTTAACCACTTATTTGCCACCTCTTAGATGATACTCTTTCGGTTTTATATTAGTTGT